GAGCGGGCACGGTACGCCTAGGGGAACGCTCCAAAGGCAACTGGGAAGTTGAGTTGAGGGAAATGAACAGAAATATTAAATATTAGTTGTCCCTATCTCTTGAAGAAACGAGCTTATCCTCAAACGTTAGTGTTTTCTTCGCCCCAGGTCGATACCTTTGCAATCTGGCCGCCACGGGGCTGTGGCGTACGGAGAGCATTGAACTGCGCAAACCATCAGTCTCCCATGGTACTTTGAAGTTGACACTTATTTTAGGGACTAAGGAGTGTATGCACACTTCCTTCATCTCCTATGACAGCAATGCTTACTGTAGGCCAGCTCGCTGCCTTCAGTTCACGTTTCAGTTCAAGGACGCGAGCAATTTTGCGCGTTTATGAGGAACTGCCGGCCCATCTTCTGCGCGATGTTCTATTTTCTGCCCTTTTCACTTTTGTAATGCATCTGTGGACGACTGAAGCTATCCCTGGCCATGCGGATTCACCGCCACCGGTCATTTCGAATCCCCTTTTATCTACTGCATTTTCTTCTTTCCCTGGCACTCAGCATTTCCTCCCCGTACCCACACCTCAACCATAAAACAGCAAATCAGCTGCCCTGCACAGGCCTAGCACCATCTTCTGCGGGGGCGCCCTGCTCTCCCCCGGTGCTGGCGCTCCTGGCACACGGCCCTACTGCTCTCTCTGTTCCGCCTTGGCACAGCACAAGCTTCGCAGCCTCCATACCTGCACTACTCATGCGCCTGTACAAATCCAGTTCGTCCCTCATGTGTTGCTGCTAAGACCGGCTCCACCGCAACCACCAGTTCATTCAATACATCTAGCAAGATGTTTCTGAACTCTCGACTGCTCTTTCACGCTCGCATCCTCAAGGCTTTGTACGTACAGCCTCATGCGACACTGCCTTCGCAACCGTATCTGCAGCACCGGCGCACTTTCACTGCCGTGGACCCCTCATTCGCGTCAACTGCCCCGGTGATGCCACCACCGTCGGCTTCCTCAGGGAGGCTTCATGCCAACAAGCGCAGATTGCAGCACTGTAACACGGAATCCAGAAGCAGCAGTAGCAATGGCAGCAGAATTAACAGTAACAGAAGCAGCAACGACCGCATGCTGACAACTGTGCACGATCTTCGCCTTTTGGAAACGGTCTGGGGGCACCGCGAGATTTCGGCTGCTCCTGCCTATGCAGAGGCTGCAGCAGTAGAGGCAAAAGCAGCAGATGCTTCTGCAGCTGCTTCAGGGAGAGGAAGAGTTGTGGTGCTGCTGCTCAATAGGCCGTTTCCTTCTTACGTACACGGTTTGCTTGAAAACGCATGGCTAGTCGTCGCAGCTGACGGCGCCGCCAACCACATGCTTCCCCTCTACCGTGCTGTTGAGGCGAAACAACAACAACAGCAGCAGCAGCAGCAAGAACAGGAGGTTCAGCAGCAGCAGCAGCAAGTGCAGGAGTTACCTGGGGGGATGACAAGAAATGCCCAAGAAATGCCCTAGATCCGCCCGTCGCTGCAGCGGCTCCTTGGTTGTGTGCAGCTCCCCTGCCTTCAGGCGTACGTACGCTAAAATTGCCCGCCTGTATATGAGGAGATTTGGACTCTTCTACCACGGAGGTGCGCGGCAGAAGTATTTTGGTCCTCCCATTCGTTTTCTTTCTGCAGCCATTCTGTTCGTCGAGGACGTATATATATGCTATACATGACGGAGTTTTGACATTTTGCCGCAGCAATATTTTGTCAGATCGTGATCTGGACAAGAATCCG